AAATCATTCAGGATGGCCATATGGCATCCTCAGTTTAATTGCCTGGCACTGGGCTTATTGCAGTGCTGGCACACCTATCAAGCAAAAAAACCCATCCTATTTCTCCAATACAAACAGTGTGATTTCCTGCTAACTCCCACTGACCAGTATCTGCTGTTCCTTAGGGTTTCCTCTTAGACATATTCTGTGGTCTTGGTTGGCTGCCAAGTGTCACACTGAGACCTCTGTATTTTAAAGATCACAGGACTACTCCGCTAATGCACAGAGCCTGCTGATGCTAATCATGCATTTGGGCAAAGCGAACAAACACTGGGCACTGTGGACCACTGAGAAGTATTTCTGCAGAATAGGGGCAGCTTGTAAATTTGGGAGACTTTCTAAAACTTCCTGTTATGGATTGTATCCTTTACTCTTATCAAGCACCCCGATATATTTTTTAAAAGAATATTCTTAGTATCGATTTGTTAACTCATATCAACTTCACCAAACACACCCTTTTGCAATCAGATGTAAGAACTCAGGTAGGCAGTATTCACTGTGATTATTGAAACAAACATTTCATGGCTGTTTCTGGTTCATGACACCATTAACTCACACGCTAAAAGTAAAGCTGCAACACAGTACTTGGGGCACCTTTCTGTAGAAATGCATAATTTAAAAGCTGTCCTGGCTTTAGAAAACTGCTGGATGGATTTTAAACCATTAAGCTCTGTTAGTTTTAACTTTATTTTATCAGCATAATAAACTATCTCAAAGTAAATATTCAGAACACCAGTACACAGATCACGAAATAGAATGTTGCTAGTACCCAAAAGCCTTCAGTACTTCTCCAAAGGTAAACAATACACTAGCATATGCTTCTTCCTGTTTTTAAACTTTATCAATGGAATAATGCAACATGTATTCCTTCATGTTCGGCTTCTTTCTTCCACAGCATATTTGTGAGATTTATCATGTTGTTACTTGTACTTGGTCTAATTCACTAATGTTAAGTATTTCCTTATAAGAATAGCCCATAGTTTCTTGATCCATTCTACATTTGAATGAAATTGGTGGGATTATGAGTCATTTTTTTTTAGACCAGAAGGATCTTTTTTTTTTCTTCATAATTTGAAGAACAGTTTCCCAGTGTTCTCAGAATAGGTAGATATACTTAATGGGCTTTAACTAAAGTGACAGAGATGTAATGATGTGTTAACACAAGTGCTTAGTGTTGTATTTGTAATTCATATTTCAAGTTTAACTTCAGGATGATCACTTGGGGTATAAAATATTTATTTGCCCAAAGTGTATCTATAATTAATATGGCAATTGCTGAGGGAGGGTTTCCAAATAATCAAATATCATTTTACTAAGAAATCAGTTTGCTAAAAATGGAACTTGAATTTGACCCAACAATCCCACTTCTAGGAATATATCCTAAGAAATCAGAAACACCAATCAGAAAGGATATATGCACCCCTATGTTCATAGCAGCACAATTTACAATAGCTAAGATTTGGAAACAGCCTAAGTGCCCATCAGCAGATGAGTGGATTAAAAAATGGTGGTACATTTACACAATGGAATACTACACTGCTGTAAAAAAGAAAGAACTCTTACCATTCACAACAGCATGGATGGACCTGGAGAGCATTATACTAAGTGAAATAAGCCAGTCGGAGAAAGATAAATATCACATGATCTCACTCATTTGTGGAATATAATGAACAACATAAACTGATGAACAAAAATAGAGTCAGAGATCAACCAAAGGACTTGTATGCATGCATACAAGCATAACCAATGGACACAGACACTAGGAGGGTGAGGACATGTGCTGGGGGCGAGGTCGGCCTGGGAGAGGTCAATGGGGGAAAAAGGAGACACATGTAATACTTTAAACAATAAAGAATTAAAAAAAAAAAAACACTAGGTGAAAAACCACCATTCTCTGGAGGATTATCTCAATACCTTGAGATTCTCCTTCCCAGCAATTGTAGACAGGTTGGTTCAAATAAACTCACTAAAATTATTAAAAAGAAAAAAAATCAATTTGCCAGATTATTTAGGATTTTTTGAAGTGTTGACTTCTCTGCCTGTAAAATGGCAAACACTCGTAGATCAAATACAAGACACTTTTCAACACCCTTTTTTCAGCTAATTGGCTTCCAGTGATTTGATCAGAGCTATTGAAGAATTACAAGTTGTTTCAAGATTTCACAATAGAGTTCAGCAACATATTGCAAAAAAACCCACAACAACAAAAAACATTTTTGCAAGGTATTGGTCCCAAAATTTGGCTTTCAGAAATGTGTGTAGAGGCTATATCTATATGTGTAAGGGGAAAAAAGATAGGATAAATGCACAGATAAAATGTCCAAGAGGACTCATTAAGAAATGTTAGTAAAAGCAGAAATAATCAACCTTAAATAGTATAATCCTTAGGTATAATCACAAGAGAGCTGGTTCCTTAACTCAAACAAACCAGTATTTGTTGATTAAACGATATACCAAGTACCCTGATTCCCACCGGGGGTTCCATAATGATCAACACGGAGCCCTAGGGTTCGGTTCAAGACGGAGGCAAAGGGAGACACTGAACTCACCTCCTCCCTCACACGCTCAGATCTCCATCAGGAACAGTTTCCTCTGGATAAAACCTAAAGGCTGGCCAAGCAACTCCAACACATCAGGCAAACAAGAAAACACACACACATTTAATCGGGTAGGAGAGGCTGGGGCCCAGTATCACGGTAAACTTCAACCCACATGCAACAATCCACTATCGGGGGGAACTTAAAGCCTGCAGATTCCCCCTGAGGAACGAAGTCCATGCCTCGCATCAAGCACCTAATTTTATTTTTTTTAAAAATCTTTATTGTTGAAATTATTACAGTTGTTCCTCTTTTTCCCCCCCATAGCTCCTCTCCACCCGGTTCCCACCCCCCCTCTTCC